GCATGTCCCACCGGGAGGAGGCTCCGGTGAAGACCCAGGACCCGTTGGAGGGACTATGTCTCTCGGCTGGAGGAGCTGGAAGAAGTGTCTGGAGAGAGGGAAGTCTGGGCATCTTTGCTTAGACTGCTGCCCCCGCGACCCGGTCCCAGATAAGCAGAGGAAAATGGATGGATGGACATTGTACTTCCTCTTTACATCAGTCCAGGCCTCAGTCCACGCTCCCGGCCTCAGTCCACTTTCCGTGGCATGTGTGATGGTCGGAGCGTGGACACAGGTCGGTGTCTGCTTTACAAACATCTGGAACAGTGGTGACTGTTCAGTGAACCTGCATCTGATTCTTGTTGTGGTTTGTGTTTCAGGGCTTCTGCTCGTGGCTGACGGCCATCTTCAGAATAAAGTGAGTACCCACTTCATCTCCAGGTGCAGCTTGTCTTCGTCACAGGACAAACATCAGATGTTTTACATCTGCTGACAGACATGTTGCATCCACACTGTTCACAGCAGAACAACAGAGGAAAGGTGTCGTGCATCTCATGTAACTTTGCTGTATAATACAGAAGCTGGATGCATCTTCCTGTCTGTCTCTTTTCATGTGCTTCTGATTGACTTCACTTGACATTTTCATGCTTTTTGAGCTGGAGTCCTCTGTGGACAGTGTGATGGTCAGAGAGGAGGCAGCCATGTTTGTCTGAAACTGTCGCTGTCACCTTTCTCCAGGAAAACATTGATCCAGGCTTGAAGCCAGCTGGCACTTTAGAAAAGCAGCAATTTTTCACATCTCCATAAAAGACGTCTGCAAAGGATGCTGCCCTGTATCCTCGCTCCTGGCTCCTCGGGGCAGATGTAAGAGTTCTGGGACGTCCTCAATCCTCGCTCAACCAGAACGACTTCCAGGTTGAGCGAGGATCGAAGAGCAAGGAGTGATAGAACGAGAGAATTGGCTTGTACCAAATGTTCCTGTGTTCAGTGCTGCATGATGCAGGTCAACAGTGGCCTCTCAGCCCAGGTTCGTGCCTCTTACAGAGCAGTGTGGTGTCACACCCCCCAGAATCCTGCAGTGAAGAGGCAGTGTACAAAGGGCTTGACACAGCTGGCCAGGTTGGCTCTGCTGGGGGGAAGTCAGGTGACTCCACAGCAGAAGGCTCAGTTTGAACGTCCTGTTGTTCACACCCACAATCAGACACCTTTCTGAACCAGTGCTTTCCTCCTAACTCGCCCTCGTCTTCCTGCAGGGATGAGGAGATCCGGGAGAAGTGCGGCGAGGACGCTGTTCACTACCTGTCTTTCCAGCGCCACATCATCGGTCTGCTGGTCGTGGTCGGGGTCCTCTCTGTCGGCATCGTCCTGCCCGTCAACTTCTCTGGAGACCTGCTGGGTAAGAACACCAACACCCTGCCCAGGGCCACGTGTCACTTCAGACAAGTGTGCTCTGCAGCTGGATGAAGCCTGCAGACTCTCACAGTGTTCTCACCTTGTGTCTGGTTGGTTGTAGTCAGAATTATCAGAGCAGATGCTTTCATAAGCCAAGGAGTGCCTGGACCTCCTTCTAAAGAAGGTAATGGCAGCAAAACGAGAGCTGTAGCATGTGTGTAGCTCTGTGTGCGTGTCTGACGGTAGACGGTGGCATCAGCTGAGCCTGGATTCAGCCTGAGCACCTGTTTCTGTAGTGACACCAGGAGAATGAAACTGTCAGCATCACTTCATTTTCACTGTGGAGTTTCTGTGGTGTTTGATTATAAATATCTAATAAACCCTTTGTCAACACAAGTGAAGCAGTGTGTGACAGCGGTGAAGGTATCAGCTGCTTTTTCATGCGTGCAGTTTGTAACACGAACAAATAAGGTGAGGTACTGGAATTATGAAAGGTACAACTTCATTTTCAAAAATACTGAAAAACTGATTTTCACTTAAAACTGGTTGACATGTTTTTGATGCTGTTTAGTTTTTCTGGTCTGCAAACTGTGGTGCAGTAGACGTATGAGTGGATGTAGTGAAGCTACTTTAGTGCTGTCACTGTGTTTCACTCGTTTACCATCATTAGCTTTCCTTTATTCATTTCACTATAACATGGCTGCTGTGAAACAACTGATGATGGAGTTTCTCTTTACAAAACAAAACCCAGTAAAAGGACCCAAACACAATACATCAGCGTTTTTCTGGGAGAAACCACAGAATTTCATGTTGTTGAACACAAATATTTCCTGAAGTTCATCTGACTTGTGTTTGTTTATTCCAGAAAATAACGCCTACAGCTTCGGACGCACCACTATAGCCAACCTGAAATCTGGGTGAGTGCACGCGGGTTTGTGCCGAGTCATTTCATTCACTCCTCCACCAGGTTGTCAGGTTAGAGCGTTGATGCAGCCGGCGTCTGGACTCAGCCAGAGATCGTTTGTGAGGGAAGACACTGCACTCTGTAGCTGTTCAACCAGAGTGAGATGTCCTCTGTCCACAGGATCTCACCACTTCACCCTCGCCAGTTAAACTTTGATTCGGACCAGGACACTGGTCTTTAGTTCAGTTATCATATAGGCTGGCCTGCACTCTTTTTCTGTTGCTGCTCCACAAAACAAATTTAACATGCTGCTGTTTCAGTTGCAGTTTGACTTGTTTTAGTCTCAGCTTCAGTTTTTCTTCTCTGATTGTGAGTTGCTTGGCAGAATGCAGCAGCTCAAGGATCGGGACACAACCGGCGTACCCTCGCCAGTTAAACTTTGATTCGGATCAGGACACTGGTCTTTAAAGTTCAGTTATCATATAGGCTGGATTGTGAGTTGCTTGGCAGAAGGCAGCAGCTCGAGGATCGGGACACAACCGGCGCGGTGGGGTCTGACATCTGTGCAGCTGTAGCTGGGCGTGGACATTAACAATTAAAGTGTCGGGGATTTGTGTGTAAATCCGGTTTGTTGTTTCCAGGACAAATCTGCTGTGGCTCCACACTTCGTTTGCCTTCATGTATCTGCTGCTGACTGTCTACAGCATGAGGAGGCACACGTCCAAGATGCACTACAAGGAGGACGACCTGGTAGGAAAACCAAAGGCTCAGGAAACATGAGTTGACTAAGAGGCTGAGCAAAACATCTCACTGTGTTGTTGCTGTTGTCTCATGCAGGTGAAACGCACTTTATTCATTAACGGCATCTCTAAATATGCCGAGGAGAGTCAGATCAAGCAGCACTTTGAGTAAGTTTGCACAGCTGATCAAAATAAAGCCACTCAGAAGTTTTTTATGATGTAATATATTTGCATATCATGCTGTTGTGACTGAAGAAAGTCTTCCAGGAACATGTTTCCCTGCTCCGTCTCATTTCCAGACAGGCGTATGAGAACTGCACGGTGCTGGAGGCTCGCATCTGCTACAATGTGGCCAAACTGATGGCTCTGAGCGCTGAGAGGTGAGAGCGCCCGGGCCCCGTGCATGCTGGGATACCCTTTAGCTTGTTACCTGACATACTGAAGGAAATGACTTTGTAGGAGTTGCAGATGGTTTTTGCAGCCTTCCTCCTGAGCGACAGGTTGTGTGGGATGTTCCCTGTATGACGGCTACTATTATTATCAGCTACAGTGACCCTCAGAACAATGTGACGGTGCCAGCTGACTGAGCTGGACTGCAGCCCGAGACTGAGCCTGACGAATAAACAGAGTTGTTAAGATGATATTAAAACAACAGCATACATACAACTATAACATGTTATATAACTAAAGCCTGTTAGGTTGCATGTTAGCAATGGTAGCAGAGGAAGTATTGACATCAAGTAAAAGTACTACTACCACACTAAATGTTCCTGCATCAATAATGTTAAGTAAAAGTTAGAATTAACACAAAAATGTACTTAAAGTATTAAAAGTATTAGTAGGTGCAGAAACATGTTGCAGTATGTTCCATTAGTACGTTAACAGTTTGACAGGCCGTCGGGGAAGAAATGTGCATAGGTAAAACCAGTATACCACTGCAACCCTAACTCACAGACACGAAACACAGGTTGATCTGACTCAGTCCACTTCCTGAGGATCACGTCATCTCCGATGTCCCTGCAGAACAAGCCTCCATAGACCCAGCGAGAACCTAGAGGAGGGGAGGCTGCACAACCTGCCCGAGTGTCCTGTTGATAAGTTTTCTTTAGTCACATGGTGATCCAGTGACAGTTGTCCGTAGTGGACTGATACGGGTTACGGTTGTTCCTGGTATGACCGGGGGCACCAGTGTCAGACGCCCACAGCTGAACCACTCTTTGTGTTTGTGCTTTGCAGGAAGAAGACGGAGCGCAGCAAGAAGTTCTTCACTGACCTGATGGCGAAGGAACACATTCCCACCATGATCAACCCCAAACCCTGTGGACACCTCTGCTGCTGTGCCATCGCTGGCTGCGAGGAGGTGGGTGCTGCAGCTGTGCTGAGCCACATGTGCTGCCTGTTTCATCCCTGTGGGAGCTATGTTATGTGGCCATAGCAATCTGGAAATGCTTAATTGGTCTCTGTGTATTTGTGGGTTTTATAATCTCTCGTGTTCAGATATGGCCTGTGCAGAGAGCCACAGTGTGCTAGCCCTGACTAGTGCTCGACCTGAAGGCTGATCTTTAGATCAGACATACAGTAGTGATGATTACTTAAATCGTTGTCGTCGTATTTTGAAGTGTTTTGCTATGGTCTGTGCATGTTGTGTGACACTGAGGTCGTATTTACTCTAATGCACAGCCACTTTAAAGCACCTTTTAATAACAGTTTTCTATGTAAACGCAGCAGTTTCACATTTCCTCACAGTTCCATGTTCTAAGTGGAAGAGTGTTATCGCTGCTTTACCATCTCACTATGGTTTGGTCCACACTGAAATATCTCGACATCTGCTGGCTGACATGAAATTTAAGACAAACATTTGTCTTTTCATGACCTGAATGAGTTTGACAAACCACCAGCAGGTCAAGGTTTTTATTAGAGTTGACCACAACATACACAACTTTAAAAAGGATGAAGTTCATTAGCCTCAGCGGAAAATTAGCATTAATAGTGACCTACTAAACGTTAGCCTGCTAACACTTTGTCCTGCAGGAGGAGGCCGTCAGCTACTACACCAAGAGGGAGGCCAAACTGAAGGAGGAGTACAGGAAGGAGAAGGAGAAGGTCCACACCAAACCGCTGGGCATGGCCTTTGTCACCTTTCAGAATGAGGCCATGACCGCCATGTAAGCCCCGCCCCACACCTGACCCCTCCCCCTGATTGTCATCAGCACCAAAGATGACCAACTTTATGTTAAAACAGAAACTAGTTATTTTGTCAGTTTGGTGTTGTTGTCTCAGAGGTTACATTAGATTTTCTCTTGTTTCTGTTAGTTAACAACCCATTGAGTATTTTCATAGATTACGTTTACACTGGTCGCCCCTCTCTGACTCTGCCCCTCTCTTTGGCCCAACCCCCTCTACTTTGGCAGTATTTTGAAGGATTTTAACGCCTGTCAGGTTCAAGGTTGTCGGTGTCAGCAGGAGCCACGTTCCTCGCAGTTTAGCGAGGTTCTTCACGTCTATAACTGGAGTGTTTCGTATGCGCCCGACCCACAGAACGTCCGCTGGTATGTCCACAGGCTCCACTCACCTAAAACCTCACCAAACTCCACACCGACGCACCCTTTGAGATCAGCTGATGTTGTGTCTTGGTTTCATCTTGCAGGGAGCACCTGTCGCTGGGCGGGATCTCCTGGTGGATCCGCTGCTTCGTCATCAACTGCATTCTCTTCATCCTCCTCTTCTTCCTGACCACGCCCGCCATAATCATCTCCACCATGGACAAGTTCAACGTCACCAAGCCTGTGGAGAACCTTACTGTAGGACACCACAGCTGAGTCTCTAGTCAAACTGAGCAGATCTGCAGTGGGGCTGCGCTGACTGTGTGTGTGTGTGTGTGTGTGTTCTTTTGTACAGAGTCCCATCCTCACTCAGTTTATTCCCACCCTGCTTCTCTGGGCTTTCTCTGCTCTGTTGCCCACCATCGTCTACTACTCTGCCTTCTTTGAGGCTCACTGGACCAGGTACCTGCTGATTCCTCCTCACCTTCCTCTTCACTAGCACTATGATACAACACCAGAACTGTATTACAGTATTAATGCCAGCACACAGAACTGTTATTAAAACCTTTGGGGCAAGTCGAAGTAAAGTCTCACATTACTCAGTTTTAAATCAAGTACAAGCGCAGTATCACCAGAGACAGCTTGGACCTGTCCCTGTGTTCTGACAAGACCCTGATTCAATCTGTTCGCCTGCAGGTCTGGAGAGAACAGAACGACGATGCACAAGTGTTACACCTTCCTGATCTTCATGGTGCTGCTGCTGCCATCTCTTGGACTCAGCAGGTGATAAAATCTGGTGGACTGTAAGTGTCCTGAGTGACCTTTGACCTGTGCTATCCTCCCTAAATGATCTCTATCTGCTTTGCAGCCTGGATGTTTTCTTCCGCTGGCTCTTTGACAGAAAGTTCTTGGCTGATGCTGCAGTCAGATTTGAGTGAGTATGTTTCTCATGACGTCCTGCGGTTTAATGCTCCTACTGGTCATCACGATTTACGCTGAAATACTTACATTCATCATAGGTTATTCCAGAGTTAGTGAAATGAAATCATTTAATCAAATTGAAATTTCATTTTCCATCAGTGTGCATATGATTTAAAAGTACATTTAAAAAAAATGAGTGTAATGCCTGGCAAAAATAAAATTACAAATCATCACAATATAATTACTTTATCAATTTGTGATTTTGTAAATATTAAAAAAGGCTAAACAAATTTCACATTCACTACAATAGTTAAAAAGTTAAAATGATTTTCAGTGGCATTTTCATTTTAATATAAAAATCTAAATTGACTTTCCTGGTAAAAATGTAACAAATCCCAATAAACAGTCAAATAAAATTCAATTAAGTGTATTTAATTTTATTAACCTCCACAGTTTGTTGTGAAAAGTATGTAAATGATCAGTAACGGATCAGTCAGTAAGACACTGCTGTGCTGGATCCCTGACAGGTGCGTCTTCCTGCCAGATAACGGAGCGTTCTTCGTCAACTATGTCATTGCCTCGGCGTTTATCGGGAACGCCATGGACCTACTGAGGATCCCTGGGCTGCTGATGTACATGATCCGGCTGTGCCTGGCTCGTTCCGCTGCTGACCGCCGCAATGTCAAGAGGGTGAGAAGGATGGACTCCAACCAAGGGGACGCGGAGATCAGTTTGTAGTAATACAATAAAATTCACCAAGTGTCTGATAAACAAGACCAAGTCCATCATTGCTTCTCTGTGGACTCATTGTCTCTGCGTGGACACCTAGGAGTCCATTATTGTCCCTGTGAAGACGTATGGGAGTCGTGTGGTCTTGACACCCTTGTCGTTTCTGACTAAACACCTGGGAGTCCCTTACTGTCTTCGTCAGACAGCTGAATCCAATAGTAGCAAAGTTCTCTCCCCAGAGACAGTTTAATTGTCTAGGATTAATGAGCACGTCACCCTATGGGGGCGCTGCTGTGACTGTACTCACTAAACGTTGTGTGTCCTCCCTCCAGCACCAGGCCTACGAGTTCCAGTTCGGAGCAGCATACGCCTGGATGATGAACGTCTTCACGGTGGTGATGGCCTACAGCATAACCTGTCCCATCATCGTCCCCTTTGGTCAGTGTCCACTGCACAGCCCCTAGGCTGCAAGGCTACTACTACAGGATCTGTATTCAGTACTTTTATATGGTATTACTAGACAGAGTCAGCATCATCACTGAAGTATTAATTATCCAGACCTGTTTCAAGACCTTTATGGCAAATCAGACGAGACAGTGACAAGTTTAAATCAAATCTGTTGAGACAGCTCCCATCATACAGTGGGTACGGAAAGTATTCAGACCCCCTTAAATGTTTCACTCTTTGTTATATTGCAGCCATATGCTAAAATCATTTAAGTTCATTTTTTTCCTCATTAATGTACACACAGCACCCCATATTGACAGAAAAACACAGAATGTTTGACATTTTTGCAGATTTATTAAAAAAGAAAAACTGAAATATCACATGGTCATAAGTATTCAGACCCTTTGCTGTGACACTCATATATTTAACTTAGGTGCTGTCCATTTCTTCTGATCATCCCTGAGATGGTTCTACACCTTCATTTGAGTCCAACTGTGTTTGATTATACTGATTGGACGTGATTAGGAAAAGCCACACACCTGTCTATATAAGACCCTACAGCTCACAGTGCATGTCAGAGCAAATGAGAATCATGAAGTCAAAGGAACTGCCTGAAGAGCTCACAGACAGAATTGTGGCAAGGCACAGATATGGCCAAGGTTACAAAAAAATTTCTGCTGCACTTAAGGTTCCTAAGAGCACAGTGGCCTCCATAATCCTTAAATGGAAGACGTTTGGGACGACCACAGCCCTTCCTAGAGCTGGCCGTCCGGCCAAACTGAGCTATCAGGGGAGAAGAGCCTTGGTGAGAGAGGTACAGAAGAACCCAAAGATGACTGTGGCTGAGCTCCAGAGATGCAGTCGGGAGATGGGAGAAAGTTGTAAAAAGTCACCCATCACGGCAGCCCTCCACCAGTCGGGGCTTTAGGGCAGAGTGCCCCGACAGAAGCCTCTCCTCAGTGCAAGACACAGGAAAGCCTGCATGGAGCTTGCTAAAAAAACACCTGAAGGACTCCAAGATGGTGAGAAACAAGATTCTCTGGTCTGATGAGACCAAGATAGAACTTTTTGGCCTTAATTCAATCAATTCATTAATGCAATCGAGGGAAGGATGAATGCGGCCAAGTACAGGGATATCCTGGACGAAAACCTTCTCCAGAGTGCTCGGGACCTCAGACTGGGCCGAAGGTTCACCTTCCAACAAGACAATGACCCTAAGCACACAGCTAAAATAACGAAGGAGCGGCTTCACAATAACTCCGTGACTGTTCTTGAATGGTCCAGCCAGAGCCCTGACTTAAACCCAATTGAGCATCTCTGGAGAGACCTGAAAATGGCTGTCCACCAACGTTGACCATCCAACCTGACAGAACTGGAGAGGATCTGCAAGGAGGAATGGCAGAGGATCCCCAAATGCAGGTGTGAAAAACTTGTTGCATCATTCCCAAAAAGACTCATGGCTGTATTAGCTCAAAAGGGTGCTTCTACTAAATACTGAGCAAAGGGTCTGAATACTTATGACCATGTGATATTTCAGTTTTTCTTTTTTAATAAATCTGCTAAAATGTCAAACATTCTGTGTTTTTCTGTCAATATGGGGTGCTGTGTGTACATTAATGAGGAAAAAACTTAAATGATTTTAGCATATGGCTGCAATATAACAAAGAGTGAAACATTTAAGGGGGTCTGAATACTTTCCGTACCCACTGTAAGTGTCAAGTCGTGAGTCAGTCTGAAGCAAGTCAAGTCAAAAGTGAGTCAGTTAAAACAAGTCTAGGTCAAGTGTGAATGAGCTCCAAATTAAATGTCGGTCAGTCGAGACAAGTCCAAGTCCATGTCAAGTCTCAAATCAGCACCGACAACCTTCTTCTGGTAAATGAAGTCCTGAATCAGCAGCTCACCTGTTCCCTTGCAGGTCTGATGTACATGCTGCTGAAACACCTGGTGGACCGATATAACATGTACTACGCCTACCTGCCCTCCAAACTGGACAAGAAGATCCACTCTGGAGCTGTTACCCAGGTGGTGGCTGCGCCCATCCTCTGCCTCTTCTGGCTACTCTTCTTCTCCACCGTACGCACCGGTAAGCCCTGTCCCCTGCTGCTTCAACTGACAAACCTCCTTTTCTACTCAGTCATTATCAAGTCAGTCAGGTGGAGTCTATATCGCAATGCATTCAAGTCAGTAGACCAAGTCACAGGTGAAGTCATTTAAAACAAGACCAAATCGAGTCCATCCAGCTCTTTTCTTCTGTTTAACTGAATTCGGGTCACAAAGGCAGCAGGTCCAGCAGGCCCGCCCAGACATCACTCTCCCAAGTGATGCTTTCCAACTCCACCTGGGGGGCTGATTTGATTCCACCCCAGGACATGGAATCATGTCAGTCAGAACAAGTCCAAATCAATTAGTTAGGGCAAGTTAAAGTCGAATGTTGAGACAAGCTCAGGCCAGCTCTGCAGCTGGTTCAGCGAAATCCTAATCAAGATAAAAGACAAGGCAAAAATACTTTTGTGCCACGTTTGTGTGTGATAGCAACATGTAGTTGCTGAAAGTTAAATAACCCTAATATGCTGTCAGGCTTTAAGACGCCGACCTCCATGTTCACTCTAGTGGTGCTGATCGTCACCATCGTGGTCTGTTTGTCTCACGTCTGCTTCGGACACTTCAAGTACCTCAGTGCTCACAACTACAAGGTACGGCTACATTTTAAATAAAGGCTCGACCAAAATGTGCATGAAGTGTTGCTGTTCAGGACACTTTCATTGTGTCTTTGTCTCAGATCGACACCAAGGAGAACGATGTGGACGCCGTCGAGAACGGACGTCCAGGTCGTCCGTCGTCCTCCCCCACCACCAAATCTCGGGTGAGTGGATTTAACTAGTGCTGTCAGATTTGCTTGCTTGCTTATAAATTGACCCTGCTTTTGAGTGTATTAACTTACTAGCAGAGGAGCTTTAATTCTTAAGTTTGCTTTTGCCTTTGACTTTAATATGCTGTTAACAAAGGAGCTCTAACTCTTGTTTCCAGTTTGTTGCCACTGAACTAGCTCTAGTTTTTGGCTAAACAATCTCAACTAAGGTGCACCTGGTCTTTCATTATGGAGTTTTTGATCGGATTACATCAGTAACTGGAGTCTAGCTGTAGTTTGCTTGTAATGTCTTGAGCTGTGAATAGGAAACAGAACAACACTGAGCTATGATTAACCTGCTCACTAAGGTTTATGCTTTGTGATCACGAAGGTGTAAAGACCGATATAACGCTGAGCTACCATGGTTCTTTCTGTGCATAGTGGCCAAGCTACAGTTAACCTGTTCACTTGCTAGCTAACATACAAGTTATCACATTGGCAGAGAATATATTAAGTTATGTTGTGCATATAAAATGGAAATCTTTCTTTTGGGCCTTTGAGTTTAGCTACCTTATTTTTAGGATTATAAATCTGACGAGATGATTTCACTGAAGGACTATGTGATCAAAGATGTAGTCAACTACAGTGTTATTATTATTACTGTGGCCTGGCATTTGGTGACAGCTTTTGGCACATAATCTTTGGACTCATTTTAGTCACTCCCAGTAAACGCTTGAGGTTTAATACCTGGCCCCCATTAAGATTTTAATGATTTTAATAGCATAGACCTTGGCGGAGCTTGTTAATGCTGTCAGGATTTGTCTCCCCCTACTGGTTATTCTTGTGCCTTTGTGTGGTCCAGCAGCAGCAGCAGCAGCAGCAGATGTACATTGCCCAGGTGCTCCAAGACCCAAACTCAGATGAGCCGGGTGGCGGGAGCGGCGAGGAGGACCGAGGGTCAACCCAGGACGAGGAGATGCTGAATGGTGGGAACAGCATCAACGAGGCGGATTTCCAGTCTGGGGAGGACAGTCTGATTGCCAACGAGGTCCGCCAGTAGCTTGGGGCAGAGCTAGAGGGAGGAGCTACTTGAGAGTTCACACCCACACAACAACTAAAAATAAAGCTGACTGGAGAATCACCACACACAACACTCCTAGACTCACACGGTTAGCTCCACCCCATCCCAGATTGAAGACTCGACCCTGACTTTTGACTTTGGCGCTGGGTCGCCACCATCCGCTCCTGCACATCTGTGGAAACCTGATGAACATCAGACTGTCTTCACAGAAAATCACTGTACATAACTACAAAGCCAATTTTTTTCCTCTGGGGGTGGGTGGCAGGGTTTGGAAAACTGTGTCTGGGCTGGATTTCATTTGTTTGCACTCGTGTCTTGACTCCTGATCCCACTGCTGGTCACCAACACTCAACCTTTCGAGGGGTCAAAGCTGATGGTGACAGTGTGTTGTTCCTCAGCCCGGTGGAAGCCTCTAAACAAACCCTTGCCATTGCCACCATCTTCCAACATCCGAGTGCCAAATAACTCTCCAACTGCCACCTCCCATCGTTGTAGAAATGTCACTTACGCAGACGCATTGCAATCTCCTTCCCCTACTTTGCTGTTTTCTCTTTTTTTGGTGAAACCTGTGGGTCGTGGAATTTGCAGGTACATTCATTGACCTGTCACGCTTTTGCCGCATGTTGATAAAAGTGCTGTCTAGATTAACGTCGCCACTTCAGATAATGCCACTTATTGCAGGACTGTTGGGGTCTATGAACTCATGCGATTTCCACCCTGGTCCTGGCAGCACATCCTTCTGCCTGCTGGATGAATGTTTTTGGCTCTCTGCTTCAGTCGGACTGCTCCTCCACCACCGAACCCCCGGACTCAACTCGAGCATGCTTTTTTTTCTTGGTTTTGATTTCACCTGAACTACCTTAAATCATGAATACCTGTCGGGGAATGAGGATGTTTGTGTTGGTGTAGGTCGAGCAATCAAAACTCTTTTCGTTCAGAACTCTGTGAAGATGCACTGATACGTTCAGTCACGCAGTTTGTGCTGAGGTAGATGGAAGTGCAGCGCTTTTCTTCCAGACGGTCTACCCTCAATGCCTGATGCTGTCAGGACTCTCAAGGGAAAATGGTTTTTGTCTTTGTGTTTTAAAGTGTGCATTGTCTGTATGTGTGTGTGTGTGTGTGTGTGTGTGTGTGTGTGTCTGGTAGCTTATTGTCCCCTGAACCTGCATCATCAAGGGTTCAACAACATGACCAGTTAACCAAAAACACAGCAACATCAGGCTAACCTCTCAAAACAGTTGAGTCTACTGTAGAATTAGTTCAAGAAAATGTTTTCCCTCACCTTAGTTCCAAAATGTCTGCGTTTAGAAGGAATATGAATTGTGTGTCTTTCTCATCCTCTACAAATGTCAGCATAGTCAAGAAAAATTGAAATCCAGTTGGTTCCAGGATGGATTGGTGACTAGCAGGACAGCTAGCAAAGGCAAAGGAAACCTAACAGATCTTTAGTGCAGATTTCAACTTTGGTAAATTTTGACCCATAACTTTGCATTGTTGACAAAGAGCAGACAATTCTGACAGAGCTGAGCTTTGAGTGGCCCAAAGATTCCAAAATGGATGAAGCTAGCATGGCTTATTAGCCGTGGGTCAGCGTCACATTTTGTTGAAGCTGTGAGAGCATAAACTTAGTCACAACAGAGGAGCATGGTTTACACAGTTGGAGACAGGACATCAGGCTGATAATATTTTAATAAGCTATGGAATCTTCATGTCCTGTTAGCAGTTTCATTAGCTAAGCCACTAAATGTCAATTAGCTTGCTTCATGCTCATTAGCTCAGAGTTTTTACCCACTTCAGTAACTTAATGTATTCAATTAAGAGAGAAAATGTCACTGAGTAATACTAGTATGATCTCAGCTGGCTAGCAGGTTAGCACAAGCTTAAGTAGTTCACCAACCTGCCTGTGAGTCATCACTACATTGCCAAGACTGTAGAACCAAACATTTCAAAGACAAATTTTTGGCTCAGATGAAACCAGACTGAAGAGTTGGAAGGAGGATTTCTCTCTCTCCTTTGAGGGAGCTAGGCTAATGGTTTCTGATGCAGCTCTGATGATCTGATTTTCGGAACACTTTCCCATGAATCTCATGGTGTCTGATACGTCAGCCGATGCTTGTTCTTTGGGGCTGTCATTGCCCGATGTGTTTCAGCTGCCCTATCCGTTCTACACATGCGTGCTCATGCACACCTTAACCTTCCCCCCAACCAAAACCCCTGGTGCATGCACAGAATAGATTTTTGGAAGAAAAATGGTGATAACCTTTACTTCAAAGGGCCATACTGCTGAGATTTGATTTACTTCTTCTGCAAATTTAAGGCTTTAATTCTTTTATATAAAAATCAACTTTGAAGAGTTTCATATGCAATTTTCACTTGCCATCTATTCAGAGCCTGGTATTTTCTGTGTCCATGGTTCATGTCTGATACAGTGTGAGGACTAAATGTTTAAAGCTCATATACTTGATTGCGTGTGCATGATGGATACCACACTTAACAGTTTTTCAGTGTTGTGTGCATCCTCAGAAATCAGCGATTTGCTTACTTACAGTTGCTATGAGTGTCAGTCATCATTTTGACAGTGTTACAGTGATAACTGCCAGATTTACCATCCAAATTCATAATAATTTTAGAAACAATGGTCCTTAATTTCAGACAGCAGTAGGCAAAAGCGGTTTGTTGTTTCAATCTGTCAAACAATTTTGGTCCATTGAAATGACAACCATCGCTGGCATGGTAGCTGTAGCTAGCTAGTTGCAGAAGCTAATGCTTGTCTCCTTGAGTTGGTTGAAAATTCTGTTTTAAAATGACTTTTGGGGTCTTATATTTGCACTTGATGGCTGCATACATGGTGGCACAGTGGAACAGTGGTTAGTGCTGACACCTCATGGCAAGAAGGTTCCAGGTTTGAGGAGAGAGTGGGGTCTGCTTGTTCTCCCTGTGCCTGCATGGGTTCTCTCTGGGTGCTCCGCCTTCCTCCCAATGTCCAAAGACATGCAGCTCAGGTTGACTAGTGACTCTAATTTGCCTGTAGAAGTGAATATGAGCATGTGAGCTGTAGATGTCAGCCCTGTGACAGACTGGCAACCTGTCCAGGGTGGACCCTGTCTCTTGCCTAGTGTCAGCTGGAATAAGTGGTATAGTTAATGGATGGATAATGCTAATAGACTGAAACTAAAGCCACAAAGAGCTAGTTATCCCTGCTGTTATAAGTATAAGGAGGAGACATGTAAGATCAGTCTAACGTAACTCATGCTGACTGGAGTTACAGTAGTGTAAATATCCCCAAATCCAGTAGAGATCAGGACAGAGCTGCTAATGTTAGCCTAAATTCTCATAGCATCAAGGGTCGACTCCCACACATTTGATGTTTTAGTCTTGACAATAACCTGTAACTCCACAAATAAGATAGTTAGCCAATGATGTGCTAACTCTTAGTCTCAGATACTTATGTGGGTAATAATGTAGTGACTTCAGTAGGTTACATTAATGCAGATTGACAGTGTTTAATCAGTTCATTGCACTTTTGCTTTTGTGTTGCCGGTTGATGAAAGATGACACCTGAAAGGGAGGCCCTGATGAAAGATTATCCAGTTGTAGGAAATTGAGTTTGGAGTTTTATTAGGGCTAAACTTGAGGATATCTCCAGCTCTCTGGCAACAATTGGGCCTTTGTTTTAAATCTTTTTTTAAGTCACCAAAACTTTATGGAAATCCCAGAGTGCCCCTATAACACAAGGGCCACTTACTAGATTGTTAAAAAGTGGTGCATGGACCTTTGTTTAAGATGTTTTGTTTTTTCAATGATTTTTGAGGTCACACAGTGAATGACAATTTAAGTAATTTCTTGCTGCTTTATGTTTTGATAAAGATGATTTGGCTCTGATTGGCCTCTTTGTGGACAAATGTATTGATCCTAATATTATTAAGTAAACTTATGAGCAATCAGCACTTGGAGGAAGAGTTTAGATCAAGACATTTTGGTGTTGCCAGCGATGGTTTGCCTCTAGTCTGCCCCCTGGTGGACAAACAAATTCCTAATTTAGTATGTACATATATGAGCAGTACCTTTCATGTCATAGCATGCACGTGTAGTTAAAAATCAAGTATGACATATGGGTGTGATGGAGGGAAAGGAGGTCACCGCCTTGCTGCTGATAATGGTTGCCATGGCAATGGGCGGCTGGGTGGCAACAGCATCATGAAACTGGGGGAACATGTTCACATAACACACTTTTCAGTGTAGCAGTGTGATGACAAAATAGTCTCAGGTGTTTGTTTAATGTTTACATGAGTTTTTGTTGCATGTTTTATTTTTTGTCGTTCTGCAGCGCGTGTGTGGCCTTGTTTATATATACTGGGAGCACACTGTTTGAGGGGACCTTGTGGGTACTGAAGGCTGGACCCCACGTTTAATTCATAGAATTCTACATAAATGACAAGATGTATGGTTAGAGCAAGTGTCGATTTTGGTTAAGGTTAGGCTAAGTCTCCTGGTAATGAATGTAAGCCACTGTACGGACCCTGTAAGTGACGAATGCAAGGGTGTGTCTGTATGTGTGTGTGGACGCAGCTGGACTATGAAAGCTGTAGCCACAGGGCGTCGGTGGCTACATGCTGGAGAACTTGCAGCATTTGTGTCCAGATGATGTTTTATTATGGCTATATTTTGGCTCCTCTTCACTTCCAGTGGACGCCTGCTGTCCGGCACTGGAGTGATTGTACGCACATGAAACTGAAACTGAATTAGGGCTCACGGTGGATCTCAGGTCTGACTCTGAGACTGGAGGTTCAGCTCAGCAGCTCTCAACCCGACGGTCACATAACCACCCCAGATTCTGTTTTTGGTGGAGCGGGTAACAGGGATGGTTTCTGATGATTTATTTTGCTCTCTAGTTTAGAGCGATGCTCTTATTTAGTTTGTACCAGAGGACTGTCAGCTGGATGTGCAGCTCCGGCTTTACTGTGTAGTTATTGAATTAAGATTTGACTCACGACAACCTGTTTATGTTTATCACAGATGGAGCGAGGTAGGAAACTGATATTCTCAACATTTTCAGAGCCTGGGGAAAGTCTGTAAGTTTCCCGGTGAACAGTATCTTACAGTTGGCAAGTCTCACCATAAGGTCTATTCACTTGCTGCTCTGGAGCTTTTGATCATATCACATACTGTACATCAGCAAATGGCGCTGGCATTGTAGCTGTTTCATGACCTTTTTATGATGACTTTATTGTCCTCTTGACTTCAGAATGGAGGTTCAGTTCATTCTGGGCTGTAGTTTAACATGTTGATCACGTAATGCGGGGGTTTTCAACTAATTCTGATCCAGGGACCACCATTCAAGAAATAATCTTGGGACCACTGTTGTGCGATGGATAAACTGGATGGGCACTATTTTAATGCTGAAAATCACTCTGGCTTTTCCTAATGTTATATATTTGCACAAACCATAAGCAATACATGGAAATGTGTTTTAAAAAATCCTTCAGTGAAACTACAGTACATTGTTGAAGGTATGGTCAGGGACCACCGGGGGGCCACGGACCACTGCTTGAAAACCCCTGACATAATGTGACCGAAAGCTCCGTTTTTTGTCTTTTTGATTGGTCTGGTCTGTCTGAGGAGCCGAACTGAGGGTTGGCAGCTGCTGCGTTCACTGACCTATCAATGGTGTAGGAACTGAAGATGCTCATTAAAACCGTGTCTGTGTGATATTTTTGTAACTGACTGAAGTATTTGATACTGAACTTGTATTAAACATTGATAGCTGTGACGATGCTGTTGTAACATGCAACTACAGGTTTTTAAAAACCAGCCTCTGCTTTTTGCTTTTCTTAGTTTTTTTTATTGATGCTGAAGTTATTGAAGTGGTGAAACAGAAGAATATGGACTGAAGAGTGTGCTAAAACTACTGAAAATGAAAAACATGTTTTAAAAATGTGTGTAAATAGCCATCGAAGAGCACTGTCGTCCTCGCAACTCCAAGCTAAGAGTCTATTAGTCCATTTCATGAGTTTAATTTATTGCTGTGACCTTTACTTTGGTTTCCAGGTTGTTTGTACAGTGAAACATTTGTCCTATTTATGTTACCTGATCAATAAAACTGGCTTTCATCTGCCCAGTTGTTCTTTGTGTTTTCTGGATGGGCTCCAGGTTAGTGAGAATTTATTCCTGTGTGAACCAGTAAAACCCATTTACTTACTCTGGTGTAATAAGTGAGTATTAACTCTAAGGTCTTTATTTCATGATGCATTACAGCCTAAAATGTATCCTCAAAATTTTGAGGATGAGAGTTTATGATTAAGGGACAGCTATGGCTAGGCAGTTTTACAGGCTAACTGAAAGCACCAGTCAGTGGTTTCTGAGTTAGAAAGTCTCCAAACTAACTGTCCAGCTTTCCTCTGGTATTAACTCTTCACTTTCACTCTGATGACTTGTTTCTGAGGTTGTCTTGCCTCAGCAGACTGGCTCGTGTAACACAGATGTGTAACACTCTAAAATAAACCCCATATTTTAACCGGCATAATGCAGGCTGAGTGACGGCACTCTGTTTACATTGACAATGAATGGGCAGCTGTCACTGACCCAGGGGTTTGTTTCTGTATGTGCTTGGAGCGCTCAGCAGCACTACACTTTGGCCACAAGGGGGCTCACTTACAGATCAGCATCGTCTAATTGTTCCGTGGGCCATACCCTACCTCTCATCCAAATCCATTCATTACTTTTTGAGTTATACTGTTTACAAACAAATGAGCTAACACCCACAAAAACATAACCCCCCCAAAGTGTGACAAAGATGGAAACATAATAAGATGCCTAGTGGGGTCCGACTGGGCATTGAGCAGGGAAGGATTAGGAAGCATCTGTGGCACTGATGAGTCCTGTTAGTTTTGTGTATGGGGCCTCCAAAACAGCCGGAATTGACAAAAGCTCAAGCACTAAGGCTGTGGAGTGTTCACAGCTCTTCATGTTTAGATGGGGGAAGTTCCACTACAACTGAGACGGAAACAGTGAATGATGAACTACTGGGCCAGACTTCAGGGACACTGCAGAAAGAATCCAGTAATAATGGTGCTTCTCCTCAACCGGGAATATCAAAAAGCTTGTAGCAAATGCTTTGTGTGGAGCACTGCGGCGGTGTCTAAAGCGACGGAGTTGAACCAAAAACAGGGAGTGTGAGGAGAGTTCTTTTATTTGAGAAGAGAAGACTAATAAGAGGATATATATTTCACTTTGTGAAATTTATTATACATTAACGTATCAAAATTAGCATGTGCACATGGATCTTCACTGTTTAGGATAAACAGAAAAGACTGTCCTCAACTTGTCGGTATACAATATTTGTATGAAAAGGTGCTACTATCTGATTGGTCAAAAACTGTTGGGGAGAAGCTGTGGTTTAGACTTAACGCTCCCGTCATTGGTCCCTCAGTCTTTGTCCGGTCTCATCCTTGGCGCGACCTTGTCCTGAAACAGACACTTTGCACAACCCACAACGCTTCTTGCAAACAGTCATCTCGGCAACCCTGAGACTGCACCTGGACTTGTTTTCCTGTTATCTAAGTCTCTGTGCTTTGACACACACACACAAGCATTTTAGAGGAGGAGGAATACCTGGCACTGCCTGTGTGTACATGAAATCAGCTATTTTACTTGGCAGCTGTTTCTTCTAGTGTTTGGTTGTGTGTGTGTGTGTGTGTGTGTAATGGTTCTACCTCTGAAGTTTTCTCCTCTTCCTGGCTTCAGATCTAATTTCTGTTTAACTATCCTTGCGTCCCAGTGAACCCTAATTCCCCTGGGCTCATCTGCCAGGTGTTGATAGTAAAGTAACT